CTTTGAGAAAAATGAATGACAGACAAGAAAAAACAAACAAAATACTCAACCTTCGCTTTTTGCCTTCCAATAAACTCAAATTACTCATGTAATTTTTGAATAATAGGCTGGGAACATTAATAAGTTCAAAAATAGAAAAAAAAAATTTTCCTTTTTTTTTTTTTTTTTTTTTTAATGTTAATGGCCTGGGTTCAATCTGTGATGTGAATTGTTACCCTTTTTAAACAAAGAATACAATAAAAATATTTTGACTTTTAAAAGATTTTACAAGATAAATCTTTTTTCAGAATGTCTTCCTCTGATTGTAAATTGTTATAATCTCCTAAGGCATTGTCTTACTTTGAAACTCCTGTAAACCAGACGTATAGCCAACAAATTCTTCTTGTGAATTCATTTCAGCATCACTGAAATTTGGTATTTCTGTATGTGAAGTCGATTCAACAATCTTCATCTCCACTTTTATATTCCATGCTAATAGGAATATATACTTGAAAAACATGGTGGATAAATAAGTAATGGTTTATTGTAAAAACCTATACAATAAGAGTAAAGGTAACAATTAGGCCCAAGGACATTGCAAATCAATCCAGTAGTGAGTGCTACTATTGGAAGGTTGGTAGTTCTCGCGTAAGTCTGAGTCATACTCAACAGATCCCAGCTAAACCCTGTAGTCTGTTGACTTACAGATACTTATAGGTAGTTAATACGAATAGTATAGTCACTCATGAGGGTGACAGGTTATTCCATTACATCAACTAGAAATGCAAGTGATGATTACTATTATTAGTAATAGCAATCCATTTTTAGCTTTTAGGCATGTGTAAAACTTAAAAACTGGGAGCAAGAGTGCTGTGAATCCCAAGAGGCTAGCTCTTCCTCTTTTACAAGGGGCCAAATATAGGATGCGAAAAATAGTTCTCATTTAGTAGACATACATAGCTTAGACTTTACACATCACTCTTTAACTCACCAACAGAGAACTTACAAAGTTAATATTCTGTGTATTTACACTTTCTTTCAGAAATTATCTTCAAAATTTTTTCTACATAAAAATGTTTTGACAGAATAAAAATTTGTATCTTGTTTTCTTTCACTTGTTTGTTTATCTATTTTCTCAACCAATTAAACATTTTTAGTTCTTTTTCATCAACACATGACACCTTCTCAACTCCAATCAATGACCCTTAACCTAATAACAACAAAAGCAATAATTTAACAAAACACATAAATATTTAAATGTGTTAGAGAAAGTTGTTACAACCCTCAGTTAATTACAATCACAAGTCTTTTATTCATTATTTCAAAGAAAGTCTTCCAATTTTCAATGTCAGTCTAACTGTAGCAAGTTCTGAAAGATTCTGATAAAAGCATTCTTTCTCTATCTTGACCATCAGTCTGTATAAATATTCTTCTAAATGATGCCATGTTTCTCACTGAAAACTGGGATTTTTGTAAGAGTTTTCAGATTTCCTCACTATTTTCAGTGTATAATTACAAGGCATTTTAATGAGCAAGGTTTGAAAACATAACAAGTAACAAAATAACGTGTTTTTCTTTTTCATTAATGAGCATGATAATGTTTTTGCATCGTTTTCCTAACTTGAAGTCATTGCATGAGTAGTGACCACAGAATACTTAATGATTATCCTAATTGGAAGCTTCACATCTGGGACAGTCTTGGTCTTTTCAAAATGATTAATTGCCTTCGCATCTGACATAACTCATCAAATTCTCCAAAAGATCAAACATGTCTCTCAGCCTGTGAAACTATTTAGTGTATTTTACTTTTTTTATCTTTTAAACTCATTTCTGACTTCCAATTATTTCTTCTTTCTATCAAACATTCCACTCTCTCGACATTTTCCTCTTGTTTCCTGTTGAGTAAATTCAACATTTTTCTTTTTCTTCTCAGATATGTTTTTTAAAAACAGCTTCTGCTTTTCTATTTTAATAAGTATTTTACTGTCTGAATTTATTCAGCAATAAAGAATAAAATAATTGTTACAAGTTTTGCAATGTTATTTTTGATGAAGCATTCAGATGAGTCTCCTCACCTTTGTTTTGTTCACCCCATTTTAGTTGATATATTTATATTATATATTCTTTAATTTTTCTTTTGTGTATTGCCAAAATGTTGGTAAAATATTAGTATTCTAAGAATTATGTCGGCCAGTATTTCCATCTTTGTTTTGATCTTTATGCGTTGGCTCTACTACCTTTCCATGATTTATCTCCCAAAATATACTTTTCTTTTTCTCTCCCCAGATGATAATGGTCAAGCAACAAATAAATACATCAATTCACTGTAACAAATTTTCACCACTAGAGCAATGACAAAAACAGAGAATGAAAAAACTTTAAATATTATATACCAGCCAAACAGTATAAATCAGCATATTATCTCCCTTGTTGTAGTCCTATTGAGTTGTGTGCCCCTTACAAGATAGATATAAATGGCTACCATGTTTAAATAGAGCATTATTCTTCCATAAAAGCAACAATGCTTGTCCAAATAATCCATTGAATACATATGAAGATTAGTTCTAAAATACAGACTGCCAATAACTATTTGATTAGCTAAAAATGTGGCTGACTTTGATAATTCTTATCTTCTTTTTAACTGTTAATACCATGCAAGGACAACTGCTTCCATTTGGCACAAGGCCATAATCATAGAGCACTCTGGTAGAACGTTTAAACATTTTAAAAGCTATTCACTTATCCAGAGGTGACTATAGAATCCAAACCTGAATGTCTGCTGCTCCATCAAGGAAATTATACAACTGAACTTTTTCTGTCAATTGAGATGGCACATCTCCAAAACCATTTGGTGAATAACAACTTCTCTCACCAATTTTCTTCTCCATAGCATCAAATGTACTCACTGCACATGTGTCACCTTGTAGATACATTGCCATATCATTACACAAGTTCTGTATTCAGTGAAAGAAACTTACAATCCCCAGACTTTCCCTATTAAATAATGCTAAATTCCATCTGTTGCCTAATAGACTCCTATTTGCAGTTGGCAGGAAAATTAAACAAATGTCAGAAAACTCTGAATCTACTCGTCTATTCATAATAAAGACACTAGTAAGAGACATTTGATTTTTTGTTTTTTTATCTTTTTCAGATAGTTAATTTCTGCTCTATTTTTAAGCTTCCAAACTGATCAAATTAAACAATCCATGATAAGTCCTCTAAATTGCAATAAAATGAATACATTTAGGTATTCTCCAATACCAGTTATAAATCTTCAGAAAGAATCCAAAGCAAAAACAATTATTAATATTTAGTTCTTCTTGTCTCTACGTTGAAAATTATTCTATGTGCCTGAAGGAATTGATATTGCTTGTAGCTACCCAGAAATATCAGGACATTTAAAGAACAAATCTCTGTGACAATGTTGTGTGCTTGTTAAGTGTAAAATGCACTGAGTAATTCAGAATAAAAAGTCAACAATTATTTGTTAATATGATTTAAGTCATCATAGATCTAGTTAATCCTATTTCATACACTTTAATAGAATGGATAGAATTAGAAATAAATATCACCAAAAGGTAGATGAAGACAAAAGCTCATGGTAAGTAAAAGGGTACATAAAGAAGAGAGAAAAAGTTATACAGAAAAAGTGCTCCAGAAAATAGAGCGAGTGGGAAAAGGTGGTGGATTTTAATTCATTGTTCAATGCTTCAAGGTAATTAAGAAACTGCAGGTTGATTTCTGTCAACAAACTGAGAAAAGATGTTTAAATTTAAAACAAAAACCAACTGAAGTTCAGGCAACACAAAGCATACATTGTAAAGTGTAAATCTTAATAGATTTTACAAATACAAATATTCTGCTAGCATAAGAGAATACAGAAAACCTGGTCATAGTCTAAATACTTCCTAATAGATACTTATTTTTAAAAGTATGATGTCAGTCATCATTTTTTTTTTTGAGAATTACTACTTAGCTATCATTGTGGTATTCTAAGACAATGAGACAAATTGCTTGGAAGTTTGAATTCATGACATTACAATGAATCATTTCATAAAAGGTTTATCACTGTTTGCAATAAGAATATTTGAGTTTAACAATTGCAACTGCAGCAACTCCTGCTTCTAAAAACATAATATTAAAAAAAATAATGGTTTCATGTAAATAATGTTATCATCTGACTGACATTGAATTAACTTTAATAAAGAATATTATTGTGTGAAACAGTAAAAGAAGAATTTCTTCCATTTTAAAAATGAGCAGACTTAAATTGAGAAAAATAGTTGCATTCTTTAAAATCTTAAATAAATTTACTTTAATTTGAACAACATGATTAAACTATGTTTTATTATTAACCTTTTAGATCAAAATAGTTTCACTGAATGAAAAAAATTCTAAAAAAGATTTGATATTATTTCTAAGTTCAGTTTTTGTTTGTCAAGACAAACTTGTCAGTTTTAATTAACATCAGAAAAATTTAATGTCAATAGCTATTTCAAATGAAAACCTGTGACAAAACTGATAGACTAAAGTGAGCTAGAATCGATCCACAATAAATGTCTTAGTCCAGCCAACCATGATGAGTGATGAGCCTCAAGTGCATCCAATTAAATTCCTCTATACTGGCATTGGATAAAAAGAATACAGTAATGGAAAAGAAATTTATTTGCTATATATTGTGGCTGTTTGTATTCACAGATCATATAGTAAACAAACAAACCAGAGAGACATTTAAGAAAATCATTTCTATACAAAGCAAATAAACATGTGATTATTGTACAGACTGTGGTTGCATTATGTTTGAAGGAATAATCAACAAACATAAAATACATGCATCAAGTTCAATAAAGAGAGTGGTAGGAAGGGGGGGATAATATGTAGAAAACTGGAGGTGGAAAATAATCAGGTAAAACTTGGAAAATGTGTATTATCTTTAGAAATGATAATGTAGTGAAAAGAAGTCAATGGTGTGATGAATGTCTAAAATAAGAGAATATATTAATGAGAATATGAAGGAATCAAAGAAGGAGAATACCTGTGGAATATTTCATGAACAGTAAGAGAAACGATGAGAAAGATAAAAGAAAGGAAGAGAAGAATAAAGAGCAAGATATTTGAAAATTGGACGAAGACAGACAAGGAAAATAAAATAAAAAAAAGAGAAAAGAAGTTAGGGAGCAAAAGAAGAGGGAAAAAGAAAGAAGATCAAACAATTGAAGAAAAAAAAAGAGACAAAACAAAGAACAACAAAGATAAACAAAGAGGTAAAGAAAAAAATTAAGAAAAAGAAAAAAGGTAGAATTTGAGGTAGAAAACAAAGCAAGAGACAAAGAAATAGAAAGACTAAATGTATTCCCTAAGAATTAAGAAAAATTAAGAAAATACAATTGTTGATATTCATTATATTTAAGAAAAAAATCAACTTGTAAGGCAAAAAAGAGTATAAATGTAACCTTTACATTTTAAGGATCACCAATGACAACACTTTTGAATATTTACCAAGATATGAATCTATTGTCAAAGGTTTCACAATCCCAATTCATTGTTTATATTCCCTTCAATATTAATGTTTATTAATACTGCTAATTTGATAATATTAATGTTTATTATACTGCTAATTTGATAACTTTTTCCATTTACAATATCCAAATCTACAGATGTTACTATGTTCTTCTGATCTATATTGATTGCAGTTCAACTGAGACACAAGCCTTCAAACAAAATTCAATAAGGAAGCATGATAAAGCAAAAGAAATGTTTCTATCAAGTTCTTGAAATTTAAGGATTCTGTTATTATTTCTGTTAATTTTCATATGTTGCTCCCCTTGGCAACTCTTCAATCAGAAAAGGGATGGTTTACCTGGAAGGGGCTGAGTGGCCATTTTATATAGGGTACACATGTGGAGAATGAAGTAGTCTGAATAAAGCATTCTCTTTCCAACACGTGTCCAAGAATGAAAATATGATGACCAGTGCCAGGTCACTAGAATAACAGCTACTATCTTATAAGAACTACAGATATTAGGGTCAGAGGCACATAAACATCTAAGCAAGCCTCAAGTGTTTCATTTTGGTGCATTTATTACTGCATTTATAAGACAAAAGATTTGAGTAACTGAATTATATAGTACATGTTTGAAATGCAGGAACAGAATATCAAGTAATGTGCAGATTTCAATCATGGAGAAAATATAATTCTAAACAGTTTATACCCTAATCTTAGTAATTTGTAAATGTAAGAAAAAAAATGTTATTGGTACAATAAAAATGAACATATCAAAAGACAATTCAGAATTAAAAATAAACAATTCCTTAGAAGAAAAAAAAGTAACAAAAATATATTAGCATAAAATGGTAACAGCAATAAATAACAATGATTAAAAAAAAACAGCTTCATCAGTCCTCTCTTTTCAGATCATAGACAAAAATGTGCACAGTGACTAAAAAATATCATATCCACAATAAATGTTATATGCAAGAAAATATAACATTAAAGGCTAATTACCTTTAGCTCACCAACAACCTTGCAGAGAGATGGTTGGTAGAACTTAATATACACTGATTCCCAAACTTTCAAGTGATACTCAGAACTAGTCCTGTTTAACACTGGGAACATGAAAAAGTAAAAAGATTATTGTTTATTTTCTTAAACTTGATGCAAACATGATTTTCTAAGTGGCCTAAATTTGATGCAACTGACTTTCCAAGTATCAATCACCAAAAATAGAGAAACAACAGATATGCAGGCAAAGCCAAATATGATCCCAACTCCAGAAAAACAAACATTTTCTATTTAGTTTTTCCTTATATTAAGTTGATTAAATCCACAAATCTTCATGAAACAATTTAGTGACCAGATGAATAAAAAAAAAATCCCTTGAAACTGAAGCAACAAATCTCTAATCTTCATCTGCTGATATTGTAGAACCTAAAATTTGCAATAACATTTTTTGTAGATGTTACAATTATTTCTCTAATTATAAAAATGTCTTAAAATAATTGTCGGAATATGTTTACATTTGGATATGCCATGAGCAGATCGACCTTGCTAACTGAACACTCCTCTGTGGCCAAAACGGTTAAGACACCCCAGGCTATATGATGGTTCCGTATAGGATACAGGTTCGAATCCTGTCTGAGGATGAATATTTTCTGTAAAAATTTCTCTAAAAGTATAAAAGGGAAATAAAAACCAATGCCATTTGTAATCAGTAAAGAAAATACCTTTCTAAAAACAAAACCTAACAAATATTCATAAATTTTATAAGCATCATATTTCTATGCATATTTCAGTTTAAATGTATATTTGATTTGATAAATGCAATGTTCGATGATTTCTTTTGTTCTATTGATAAATATCAAAATGTTGAATTTTGTACTTGGAATAATTTCCACAAACTCAATTATAATGAAACACTTTTTTACTTCTCCAATTCATTGGTTGCCTATCACCATAAAATAAGCCATTTTTACATTTGTGAATAGAAAAGTTTTTACAAGGAGGTGGGGATTACAATTTCAGAATAAAATAATTAACTGAGTATGAGTGGAAATAATATGGGATAAACACTGACTTTATTCAGTGTTGATACTAGGAAATTTAATCAACTGATTAGTTGGTTATCAAGTTATATCACACAATTCAGCATAGGTTTGTCAAAAATAATATATAGACAGGGATATTTCAAGTATTTCATTTACATGAACTGAACCAAAACAAAATATTCATTATGCTTCTTATCATATGGCCTGAATATATTCCTGACAGAATATACATGATAAAAATAGATAAAACTCTAACTTGTGTTGATAGCTTGTAAATGTAAATATATATATATATATATATATATATATATATATATATATATATATATTCGAGCATGTTTGGTTGAATAATCTGGACATATTACGTTAATTTTTATTTTAATGCTCTCAAATTCTTGGATCAACTTCTTAATGTTGATATTAAATTCATTAGAGAAGGAGGCCATAGTTTTCTGTTTTTTTTTTTTCATTTCTTTTATTTCCCTAAGTAGTTTTAATCTTATCCAAGATAATTTTCAGGGATGAATTGCTAAGACAAAAATTAATGCAATTCATAGTTGTGAATATGCGTGAAAAGCACTCTAGTTCTAAACACATATGAACACACTCCGTTATAGTGTGGGTACATACACACACACACACACACTATATATATATATATATATATATATAAATGAGCAGTAATCTTTCTTTTCTACATGTTTCACTGATTGTGCCTGTAGGTTTTTAATTCAGTTTTTTCTAATGTTCTTACAATTTCCCTTTTATGGCAATTAACAAAGGTGGCCTTAAAAATGGTTAATGAATTCATTAAAAGTGTATGGGGAAAATAATTACTATCAACAATTTCTTAATTGTCTTAATCCCCAGGAAGGAAAACTGGAAGTACATCAGGAAAACTGAATTAAAAAAAAAAAAACTTATAAAATTTTCCCTTTTCATCACATTCAATGAAGTGTGTGTGTGTGTATATATATATATATATATATATATATATATATATAGTAAATATCACAAAAAATATAATAAACATGTAAGGAATCTATTGAAAAACTTTGGAATCAAGTTTAATCTTTGTTGTTTTACATTTATGTATTGCACCAATACTCCTAAGAAACCATCAGTCTGATTAATTTCATATGATTTTAACAACTGTGGTTTTCTTTCCAAAATGTTTTTAAAATAAAGTTAAACCTGCTAAGAATCAGTTCAGATACACTAGTCAGAATATACTGTCTTTAATATTAAGTGAAAAAACAAAAAAAATTGATGAAAATATACTGATTATAAAGTATACAGGAGGGAAACTGTCAACTACTGTCTACTAATGTGGTTTATTCAAAAGCAATTTCTAGCCAAAGCTGATATTGGATATTAAACCATACAATTACATCCATTATTTCTGTGGTAGAGAGATTTAAAAGATAGTTGCCAAATCTATTTCAAATTTACATGTTTTCTCACCATTTAATGGAAATAAGAGTAGAGTTAATTCCCTTTATGTTTGTAAGTGTTATATTGTTTTATTCTTTTGATTTTGGGTAGTTTTATAGCAGGATTTCATAAAACTTTCTGCCAAGTTCATTTCTCAAATGGATCAATAACTTTTGCTGAAAGTTTATTTTTCAAGAGAATAGTTGCTCATTATTATTTGGCAAAAATTATTTTAATGTCGTTTTACAAGAGAGCAAGCAGCTTTAAAAAAAAAAGTTAAATCAGAGAAATTTAGTAAGAGTAACTATTTTGCAAAATACAATTAAAGGTATATAAACGTTATAAAATTTTCTCATGGTTCATTTTTCCTACCAAGATTGAGACTAACACTTAAACAAATGTCTACATGCATGGCATTCTTCTCAGATAATAAAAAATAACAATTTGAATTGATGTGCAGTGTTTTTTTTAATGTTTTTTCCTGAAACAAACCAGCTTCATTATTTGGGACAAACGATTGATTGAACAGGAAAGGTCAATGTAAGAAGAACGAATTTTGAAGAAAAGGAATTGATGAAAAAGACAAACAAAATTAAATGTGTAATGAGAAATGAAGGAAAAAAACAAGACACAATATTGCCCTTCAAAGATATTGAGAAAAAGAAAGACATTGTTTTTAGTACTGACTGTGATTCTAGTAAATCTTGCAATTACAAATCTGATGGCATTTGATCTTTTTGACAGATAGCATTTTGGATAAAAAGAACAGTTATTTTCTTCCTACAATTATGTTGTAGTGAGTTCTGTTTTTTTCTTTTGATCATTCCTCAATTACAGTCTTTAAATGTTTTTTTGTCTCTATTCAAATTGTATTTTTGTATAATAAAGGAAATTAGATTATCATTTTTTTAAATGACACTATTCTGTACATAGCAATTGTTTTCTTATACTGGTTAGGCTAGAAAAAGAGAAAGTATTTTATACTAGTTAGGCTAGAAAAAGAGAAAGTATTTTATGACAAAAACTAGCAAGAAAATAGCATTGAATTTTAATAATTTTTTTGTCTTTTTCGGTTTCATACTACCTTCCACATCTGTGATATTCTTGTTCGTTTATTGGCTTTGTAAACAAAGAATAGATCTAAGATCTTATAATTATTATAAAGAAGAAATTATCTCTCTTATTTATTCTTCTGAATAAAAAAAAAAGCATGAAAATTTCTCAAAGCCACACTGAAGTGAACAGCAACAAAGATAAACAGTAACAATTTTTCAACAAATGTTTTGAATATGACAAAGAACAGTTGCTGGATTTTCACAATTTATGATCAATGTTCCTCAACTTTTGTCATCAGAATTATTGAAGGTATCTCCCTGACAACAAACTGCAAATAAAAACAGTGGTGACATAGACGAATGGCCTTCACAAAAATTACTTTACCAGAAATTTAACTCCAGAAAATCTTACTACTTTCAAAAGATCTTGCATCTGTCAGAGAATCTGTTTCCTTTTCTCTGAGCATTTTGCAATAAAAAAAAAAAAAAACTCAGTTGATGCACTGAAATAAATTTAACAAAGATAAGAATATGAGTTTTGAGTGAATTAATGTTTTGGAGTCATTATTCAATTCTTCAATTTTTACTAAGCTCAAGATGCTATCAGCATCTATTTACATAATCAGTTTTTAATGTTTAAACTAATTAACACAAAGACACTATCTTTGTAATGTTCTTTGTTAAATTCTTCACAATCAAAGAAGTTTACATCTGCAAGCCAAATTCTTAACTTTGGGAAATACTAAAAATAATTCTAAAATAGTTTTAACGTTCTTAGTTTCTCTAACAATGTGATCACTTTGAACAACCAGACCGTTCAGCTATTCTGGTCACAGCATTTTAAAGTTTTAGCCATTAAATGCTATCAACCCACTGGCTGAGCAGGCAGTTTTGAATTCCGAATTGGTGTTCCCTTAAACTGATTAGCAACCATGTCAAGAGAACCCAGTCTACTCTGCTATTTAACTAACGGGAAGAAGAAATGGATTCACACCTTTCCCATGTTGGTAACCCTTATGCTATACACACATTCACAACTTTCTATGTATCTCTGATTAATATTTTAAATCTCAATTGAGAATCAGCTCAAATGAAAATAGGTTTCTTAAATAAAAGGGGAACATTGATCCAAATAAACTAACAATACATACTATTGATAATCATAATCATTATCACAATCCTATGAGGGTTTTTTTTTAAATTATGTTACTTTTGAGTGAAGTCTAATAAAACATGGAAGAGCAGTGTAGCTTAAGAATCTTTATTCTACTTAGAATTGCACATTACAAAATGGATTATCTCCCTTAACAAAAGATTTCTTTTGTCAAAGGAGATAATTTCCAACAAGGGAGGTAACCAAAAAGTTTATTACAACATTCTCCCTGTATTTTATTTTATGCATAGAAAATGAATTATATCTCCAATGACCAGACATTCTACAGGTCCTGTTGGAGCATCTTAATGACTCATTGTTTTGGGTAGAGTCTCAAGCCTCAGGTTTTCTCTACCCAGAGGCACACTGGGATTGATTCACCCATTTTGTTCTGAGTTAATATAGGTGCACTTCTGTGTACAGGTTGCCCTGATTCTGAAGACCATGCTTCCAAATTGAATTGCAGCTAAACTAATTTCTGAGCCTTTACATTGCATTGTTTTCCATATTATACTGTCGTATCTTTCACATTGACTGTTACCCAGGGCGGGAGGTAAGAGGTTGTTCAGCTTGTGGCTATTTCTTGTTTCTGAAGGAATTGTCTGAGCTGAAAGAGGCTTCAAAGAGACTTTGAATGAATAATGTTGGAAACTCAAAAATGGTAAATAAGGAGCATAAGCATTGTAAGACTGAGTTTGTTGATGTGTCAATTCAAAATTCCTAGATACAAGACAGACATTTGCAAAAGGCCAAAAGCAAAACAGTGTGCTTTAATTGCAAAAGTTCAGATAAGAATAGGTGGCCATTTTGTGGAACCATGAAATATGCAATTAATCATTCAAATATTTATAGGAAGAAATATTTCTAGTTTCTTTTGTAGCATTAAAAATAATTCTAAGATGTACAATTGTTCATAAGATCTCAAAAAAAAGTGTTAACATGACAAGATTGCCTTTTGTAACAATCTTTCTTCAGTTAGATATAATCTAAAATATTTTAAAACAAAAATAGAATATAACATTAAATTATGTAAGAAAGCTGAGATAAAATTCAAACTTTATCTAATTTATATACTTTTAATTTTTCAGTAAATGTTCCTTTCGGATTCAAAATTATGTAACTTATGTTTTAATTCTAAACACATAGACTGTAGGGTTAAAATTTGTTTTTTAATTTTGCTGCTCAAATTCATTTTGTTCCTACTGCTTGAATTTCGTTTTCTCTTCTAAACTTGTAAAAAGAGATACTGTACTGCTTTCAACGATGATAATTTGCACTGGGGGTCAACAATCCGTGCACTCCAAACCATCAAATGACAGAGACAAATGTTTTATCAATATTTTCTAACAGGTCAGATGAAAATAAAAGGGGAGAAAATCTGAATAGAAATATTAATGTCCTACCTGGAATCCACTGGACACAGACTTTACCTCTTGTATTGTTAGTAACACAAAGCATCTGGTAGAAGAGACAAAAATAACCAGCATGAATAATTGTCAGGAGCCTTTGCACACTTGAAATATTGGGGGGAAAAAAATTAATGAACACATTTCAAAGAGTTTTTTCATTAATTCAGTAAACTTACAGGAGATTTACATCTCTTAAAGAAAGATGTCTTCCATCATAGTCATTGGTTTGTTTGTGAGTCATTCAATAAGAAAGCAAACAAAAATCACAAAGAAGGGATAAAACATCTTTTTCCCTAGACACACGTGACACTGGTTGCAAGAAATTGGTTCCCAAAAGTTTTACTAGGAGGAAAAAGTAAATTTAATGAAGGTAAAAAGAGAAAAAAAAGTAAAATAAAAAATATCCCAACTCATCCATCCAAATCTACAATTTATATAAACAAACACATTCACACAAATACATATGTGCAAGTATTGAAAACACTGTGAGCAAACAAAAATTTTCATTGAGAGATAACTTGTTTGTGATGAGGAAATGTGGTTTGAAAATAAACTCAGCAAAACTTCTAATGACTTCCCATGAATCAAACAGATTTGTTCTTTTCATGGATTCCTATTTTGAAAAAAATATTCACCAACAACAACATTGGAATGACAAGAAGAATGTCTTCCCTTTCTAGGTTCAAAACAAATCAAAAACTGTTTATCAAAATTATTTTTATTAAATGAAGCATTGTCAATGATGACTAATTTTGGGGGTAATATTTTTTATCAGATGAGGCACAATTTTTAACTAGTATTTCTTTCATCTTTATTTTAGTTTCTCTACTTCCACTAGTAGTATGGGCATTAGTAGTTTCTGGAACAATGTTTAATTGGCTTATCATTTAATTACAGATACTCTCCATCTCAGAAGGTTCATTTCCATGATTGTATTTTTGTAGGGAGCCCAAAATTAATATCTAGTACAATGATAAATATTATTCTATTAACCTTGAGTTCAATAACAGAGAATTTGTAACAAAGTTTTCAGTTTCCAACAAGACCAAGACAGAATTAGAAAAGGAAGTTTTATATATATATATATATATATATATATATATATATATATATATATAAAGAAATATAGTCTTAGGTGTGCTATATTTATGGGATAAAGTTCTCAATATCAGAGATAGAGCATGTGTAAATATAAAAGTGAACATTGAGGTCAAGTTTGCTTAGAGGCGACAGTCAGTTTCATGCTAGACACAATTGTCAGGCCTGATGATTGTATCTAGCATGAAACAGATTGTCACTTCTAAGTGTTGACTTCAATGTTCACTTTATATATATATATATATATATATATATATATATATATATATATGGGCACATTGCTGCTTTCTAAATATGATCCCTAAGTTAAATCTAACCATGGTCAATTTGACAAAAAGGTAACTTCTTGATGTTGTGCTGCACCTTTGAAAAGTGCCTCAAAACCATGCTATGGGATGACCTAAGCCTTGTGAGTGAAACTAAGTAGGCAGAACTCTTGAGAGCCATTGATGGTTGTGGTAGCATGAAGTCACAAGTCATTGTGACCGAGAATTTGAGTGTTCTGGCCTTGTTCAGACTTGATCATGCTAAATAACAGGCACTCTCCCAGAAACTATAACTAATGTCTGCTCAGCATTGTTACAGTATAAATCACAGGTGGGCTCTGTGGGAGTTGAACAAACACATGTTCTGTAGCAAGTGTCTGTAACAGAGATTAGCTAGCTACCCTAGTAGACTGGCATCTTTAGATACAAGTGGCTGCACCATCTACATTTTATATATATATATATATATATATATATATATATATATATATATATATATATGGTGTGTGTATATATATATATATATATATATATATATATAACATACATATAAGCTTTTTAGGACCATAATCAATAAGAGGTTTGTTGAGTACATAGAAAAGAACAACCTCTTCAGCAATAAGGAATATGGGTTTCAGTTGGTCCAACTCTCTGACGTTGTCTTAAGTACCATCACTCACAGAATCATTGAGGCTCTTGGCAACAAACACACCTCTAGGATGATAGCGCTATATATCTCGAAGGCTGTCAAAAAATGTGGCATAAAGGTTTATTACACAAGCTCTCCAGTTATGGAATCACTGGAAGGATCTTCTCAATCATAAAATCTTTCCTATCAGGTAGGTCCCTGAAGGTAGTTAATTAATGGCAAGTCCTCCAGTGCCCTAGTGGTCAATGCAGGTGCTCCACATGGGTGATTCCTTAGACCAACTCTCTTTATGATCTATACAAGTGATCTAAGAATATACTCAAATCTAATACGAATATATGGCACACATGTAAAATTCTCAATGGTCAAGGATTAGCAACTGATTTCTCTTCCAATCTTGTACAAATTACCCAATGGAATAAAAACTGGCTGGTTACATCCAATGCCTCAAAGATCAAGATAGTTACATTCCATCATTGACGACCTAACCCTAAACTACCACCAATCAAGATGAACAGTGTTCGTCTTGGGAAAGCACCATGATTTGTAAGACTGCTCAAACTCACATTCGATTTCAAGTGAAATTTGTACATATGATCTGTTGTTAAGGATGCAGGTAAAATGGTCGGCTCCCTGTACCACTCCAGTAAATACCTGCTATCCTCTACCCTGACAAGTGACAGATCAGGCCAAAATTACTGTTGTGATATCTGGGCAGGAGCCGCCAACACCTCACTCTCCAGCCTTGATAGACTTCCAAAGCTTCTCCAGATGACAAATTATTCTCCACCCTTCAACTCCTCTCTCACACGTGGAATGTAGCAAGCCTCTCGCTGCTCTACCACTACTTTCATGGAAAATGCTCAGACAAACGACATTCTCTGGTACCGCCAAGGTAAACCTTCATGACAAGAACACACCATGTCACTTACATAGTTGCAAACCACCCACATTTTCTCCATATTCTATCGTAAGTAAGCAGCTTCTTCTCACTGTCCTGTGGAATTGACTCCCAACAGGATTCTTCTGATCACAACAATCTTAACCTATTTAAGATTGGGTTAATCATTATCTCCCTCACCTACACACACACAAAAGGCCTCTTAATGTAACCCTCTACCTCGAGTAGCCCCCCAGCCTTGTAAAGGGTGACTCTCACTGAAAAAAAAAGAAAAAAAAAAAAGAGAACAAATATAAAGCATACAGGAATGTGTATTTACAAAGTTGTGTTTTTGAGAAATATTGTTTAGAGTTTCAAGTTTCAATTGAAAGAGATCTGTAAATATGTGTGTGTGAAAGAAAGAGTATATACTGGTTAGAAGAGAAAGTCTCTTTATCAACGTACATTCAAAAGCAAAAGTAGGAAGACCATAAGTTTGTAGCTGGGGTTTTCTTTTTTTTAACAGCAGCAGCCATAAAAGGTTTCTTTTTAGTTAATACAATACTAATTGGTCCTTTTGATGCAAGAATTTTATACTTTTGAGTTTTGGGGGCTGTTAGCTTGCTTTTTATTTGGTTTTGGACTACCTGCCAGCTCCCAGGCTGAGGGATTTTGAAAACTAAACAGAATTTGATTAGTTAATTACTCTTTCTGAATGTACGTAATACATCATCTTTGTGTTGTATTACTTCAGGATAATGGTGATCATGGCTTTTCCAGAATTTCCTATCCTTTATAGATCTCAATATTTCTTTTCTTGTTACTATCTCTCCCAAACCCTGCTCTGCCATAGTAGGTTAGGCATTCTTTTCTTTTGTCCCTCTTGCCTTTGATCTACCCTGTGAGTATCACATTTTCTAAGCCTTCTTTCTTCATTATGTACCCCAGAAATTTCAAATATTTCTTTCTGATGTTAAGTATCAGTGACCTTTTTGCTTCCATTGTTTCAAACTTTGTTGTTGCTCACATGTTCAGTCCATGGTATTCTCAACATCCTTATGTAGAACCACATTGCTGTTCTTTCCCATCTCTTCTCTACATGCTAGATACTAGTGACCTACTGGCAGGGTGCTGATGGTCCTCTGGTGGCAGCCAATGGTGGGTCACTAGCAGTCCACAATTAGTAACATTGCCAAGACAAACACATTGGTAGTCTGACAGAAGGCCACCAGTGGTAAACGCTAGTGGCATGCCACCTAGTGGCAGATTGGTGGCTTGTGTGTAGGGAATTCGCCATCTGTGAGCAGATTGTCCAGCATTCACTATGATATAGGAGGAGTGATATTACATAACATTTCAGTATTCTTTTCTTTGTTTCTAACAAATTTTTTCTAATTCTTAATACCTTGCTTAGCTTTTGGCAAACATCTTTTGCTATCTAAATGTGCATTTAGATTTCAGTGTCACACTTTCTGTCTTCTGTTAAAATGCTTCCCAGATGTTTCAATTGTTGTACTTGTTTCATTTCAGTATTTCAAATTTGTAATTTGCATGTTGGGTTTTTCTTTGGCTAACAATCTTGCATTCTAACCTTTCCTTTCTGTGTCTGCTATCAACACTGTGTTATCAGCATATCTTATGTTGTTAAGATCGTGGCCAACAATAATGAATCTTAGTAGGACTTCTTGTTCTCTGAGAATCACCTCTGTTGAAATAAGTCCTGTTAGAAGACACAAGCTTGTCTTATACCCCTTTCTATTAGTGCATATTTATTAAATTCATTTTCCTTCTCATATGCAGGTGGTTTGCTGCCAATTTTGATTCTAGATTATTCTAATATCCTTACCAAATATTTCAAGGTTACCTAACAATTCCAGCTGTTCTTTGTGACAGATTTTATCAAATGCTTTAGCATAATCACAGGTATACATGCTTGTACATTTTATTTTTTTTACTCTTTCTGATATCGTTTTGAGCATAAGTATTGCATTCCTTGTTCCATTGTCATTACAAACCTGTCCTGTTCTTATCCTATTTCCAATTTGATTCTGCTTTGGACTGTATTCATTAGAATTTTAATAAGTTTTGTTATATAGCTCATGAGGTTAATAGAGTTCACATTTGTTTGCACCTGGCTTCTTCAGCATTGTTATCAA